AGCATCGTCCCTGCACAATTGTTCCCAACCATCCTGTGGTGTTGGGTCCTCGTTTTGAAGAGACAGCGCCCCGCGTCCACTCCTCCCGCTGCCCCCTTCCTCCTCATCCCTGCGTTTCACACACCGCTTCGTGGCCCCATAGGGAGCTCCACCGAAGGCCCCACTGGCAGGGTTCGCATGGCGGCCTCGGGCCATTTCGGCACACCCCTCACGAGGATCGTGGCCCCATAGGGAGCTCCACCGAAGGCGCCAGTGGCATGGTTCGCATGGCGGCCTCGGGCCATTTCGACGAGGATCGTGGCCCCATAGGGAGCTCACCGAAGGCCCCAGCAGGGTTCGCATGGCGGCCTCGGGCCATTTCGGCACACCCCTCACGAGGATCGTGGCCCCATAGGGAGCTCCACCGAAGGCGCCAGTGGCATGGTTCGCATGGCGGCCTCGGGCCATTTCGGCACACCCCTCACGAGGATCGTGGCCCCATAGGGAGCTCCACCGAAGGCCCCAGAGGCAGGGTTCGCATGGCGGCCTCGGGCCATTTCGGCACACCCCTCACGAGGATCGTGGCCCCATAGGGAGCCCCGCCGAAGGCGCCAGTGGCATGGTTCGCATGGCGGCCTCGGGCCATTTCGGCACACCCCTCACGAGGATCGTGGCCACATAGGGAGCTCCACCGAAGGCGCCATTGGCAGGGTTCGCATGGCGGCCTCGGGCCATTTCGGCACACCCCTCACGAGGATCGTGGCCACATAGGGAGCTCCACCGAAGGCCCCCAATGGCAGGGTTCGCATGGCGGCCTCGGGCCATTTCGGCACACCCCTCACGAGGATCGTGGCCCCATAGGGAGCTCCACCGAAGGCGCCAGTGGCAGGGTTCGCATGGCGGCCTCGGGCCATTTCGGCACACCCCTCACGAGGATCGTGGCCCCGGAGCTCCACCGAAGGCCCAGTGGCTCGCAGCGGCCTCGGGCCATTTCGGCACCCCTCACGTGGCCCCATAGGGAGCTCCACCGAAGGCTCCAGTGGCAGGGTTCGCATGGCGGCCTCGGGCCATTTCGGCACACCCCTCACGAGGATCGTGGCCCCATAGGGAGCTCCACCGAAGGCCAGTGGCAGGGTTCGCAGGCTGCCATTTCGAGGAGGGTTCGCATGGCGGCCTCGGGCCATTTCGGCACACCCCTCACGAGGATCGTGGCCCCATAGGGAGCTCCACCGAAGGCGCCAGTGGCAGGGTTCGCATGGCGGCCTCGGGCCATTTCGGCACACCCCTCACGAGGATCGTGGCCCCATAGGGAGCTCCACGAAGGCGCCAGTGGCAGGGTTCGCATGGCGGCCTCGGGCCATTTCGGCACACCCCTCACAGGATCGTGGCCCCATAGGGAGCTCCACCGAAGGCGCCAGTGGCAGGGTTCGCATGGCGGCCTCGGGCCATTTCGGCACACCCCTCACGAGGATCGTGGCCCCATAGGGAGCTCCACCGAAGGCGCCAGTGGCAGGGTTCGCATGGCGGCCTCGGGCCATTTCGGCACACCCCTCACGAGGATCGTGGCCCCATAGGGAGCTCCACCGAAGGCGCCAGTGGCAGGGTTCGCATGGCGGCCCCGGGCCATAGCGGCACATCCCTCACGAGGATCGTGGCCCCATAGTTGCGCTGCTTCAACAACCGCGCATGGGCGTCGTACTCCGCCTTGTCGACGTGCAACGCCACCTCCTCCCTCATGGCTCTCAAGGCCTTCTCCTGCTTCTGCTCCTCGGTGAGAGGGATGCCGTCCTTGTCGTCGTCGGCGCCCGCGAAGACGGCCACGAACGTGTCCCTGAGCATGTCGGGCTCCGGCGGGAAGCCGTGGCCACATAGGGAGCGCAGGCGAAGATGGCATTCACAATTGCGGCATTCACAACTGCATATGGTTGGGTCCTTCGCCAGGATAATTTTCGACTATTTTTGAATATTTTCCTGTAGAGGGACATGCCCAACTTAAATCCAGGCTGTATGCTCGAACCTTTTTTGTTGGGGTGCAGCCCTGGCCCAGCCGATCTTGGGACGATCGGGCCCTCCAGGAAGGTCGCGGCGAGAGCTGCACCCTCCCAAAGAGGAGAGACCCATATGCACTGCGCCGGGCTCGTGCCCTGATGACCGGGGCGCTGTGTGCTGAGACCTCGTGGACTCCTGGATCGTTCAATGCGGGACGGGAAAATGACCACAGCCACTGCTTCTTGTTTGCGCCGCCTTCCAGCCGGCCGAAAAAGAAGCAGTGGTTGTGGTCATTCCCCTGGTGCCAAGCTCAACGAAAATGACCACAACCACTGCTTTGTTTCTTCGGGCTGAAGGCGGCAGCACAAGAAAAGCAGTGGCTGTGGTCGCTTTCGCGCCCCGTATGCAACCTTTGAACGACTGCGGCCTCCCGACGGCGCCGACCGCTCGTCCTGGGCCACCTCTCGGCCGCTCGCGGCGTTCCGCCGAGCACGCACGCGCTGGGGCCGCCGCCGCGCACGCGACGCGGCGCGAGCCTACCGTGCAGGAGCTCAAGACATATGCGGTCCGGTTTTTTGCTCCGCAGATGTCGCGGCGGCGGCCCCGGCGCCGCGCTGCAGCCTACGAGCTGAAATCAGGAGGGGAACAAGCACACAGACACAATGATTCGTCGATTCCCGGAAAGTATGCGAACATATGGGAAGTGGGGGGGAAGACAGAACCCCAGAACATCTAGGAAACTATGGGGACTACTTTTATTTGTGTGTACTTATCTGTGTGTCCCAGGGCCCCTTCATGAAAGCGTGCCGCTCCGCTCCGCAGGGGGTTCGCGCGAGCCCGGGGCGGTGACGCCCGGGGCCTGGGACGTGGTTGAGTTTGCGCGATTTTGCGCAGGGGCGGGGCGGGCTGGAACCCGCAGCGCGGCACTTGCCTGACGTCGCAGCGCGGCAGGGACAATCTACGCGCGCGCGATCGCCAAGCCGCGGGGAACGGAATTGCGAATTGCACGGGTGCAGGAGGAAAAGGACCCAGACCCCCGACGACATGGCTTTTTCATGGATAGACAGACCCCCATGCACGAATAGCGCGTGGCGCCGCGGGCCAGAACGGGCAGCGCGCAACGCGGAGAAAAGGTTCCTGGCCGCAGGTCCTTTCGAAGCCTCGACCGTACGTGAATAAACAGCTGCACGCGCGCAAAACATCGGGGCTCCGCGCGGATCTCTTGCCTCGGCGCTGGACCCCCGTCCCCGGCGCGGCGGAGCTCTGGCGCGCGGAGCGCGCCAGTGGCGGCGCCAGAAGCGCTGTCAGGGGGGGTCCCACCGCCGATCCAAGAAATCCGCGTAGAGCTCCGAACGTATATGCTCATTGTTGTTTTCCCCTTCAACCTTCGAATAATGGGAGCGGTGTCATGATACGGCTTGACCAGGATACGCTCCAGGAGCTCCAGAGTATCTAGCGGCCCTCGTCTCTGCAGCCCGTGTCGAACATTAGGAGATCTGGGGAATCTGGGAAATTCTGGAACGCATCATAATCATGACGGGCCCCCAGCATTCCCCTGCTTTTTGATGAAGGTGGTGGGGACGGGGCTTCAGTGCGTGCGGCTCTACCACTCCTGAGGATCTGTTGCCCCGGGGCGGAAGGAGGGATACCCAAACACGGCCTGCCCTTGGCCGCGTGGCCACTAGGGCCTAGGGAGGCAGGGCTGTGTGGTGGGGGGGGGGCGCGGGAACGTGCCGAGACAGGAGTGCCTCTTGCTCCTCTGATCCCGGAGCCCCCGCCAGAAAATGCACCCCCAAAGCGCCAAACCAGTTCAAAATGGGTCCCTGGACCCTCCCTCCTCCTCCTTCCTCCTCCCTCCTCCTCCCCTCTTCCCCCCCTCCTCCTCCCCCCTCCCCCTCCCTCCCTCCCTCCCCCTCCTCCTCCTTCCTCCTCCCTCCTCCTCCTCCTCCTCCTCCTCCTCCTCCTCCTCCTCCTCCTCCTCCTCCTCCCCCTCCTCCTCCCCCTCCTCCTCCTCCTCCTCCTCCTCCTCCTCCTCCTCCCTCCTCCTCTCCTCCTCCTCCTCCTCCTCCTCCTCCCTCCTCCTCCTCCTCCTCCTCCTCCTCCTCCTCCTCCTCCCTCCTCCTCCTCCTCCTCCTCCTCCTCCTCCTCCTCCTCCTCCTCCTCCTCCTCCTCCTCCTCCTCCTCCTCCTCCTCCTCCTCCTCCTCCTCCTCCTCCTCCTCCTCCTCCCTCCTCCTCCCTCCTCCCTGGACCCTCATGACCCCGCCCGAGGTCCATCTGGTGCAGACTTCCACCCTGGATCCGTTGTTGACGGCTCCGGGACCCGACAACGGCCTCCAGAGGCCGAACAAGCAAAGAACCTGCTCAAACCCAGAACCTCGAACCTCGCCCCCCAGCCGACTCCAACTCCTGCTCCTCTGGCCTCGAACCCGGACCCCTCGACATCTTCATTTTTTCAAAACGTCGACCCCCACCCAGCAAACTCGACCATCCCCCGGGACCGGATTTCCGTCCTCACTCCCTTGGGCGGTCCTGGGGCCCCGTAAGGGCCCCCAGAGCTCGAAAAGAAAGAAAAACCTCCTCTCGCGATTTTTTCATGACTCGAGGGTTAAGTCGGGCGCGTCCCCGTACAGGCGGATTTGGGACGACAAACTAAAGATACGCAAGAAAAAACTCAAACATAGTCAAAAATTGTCAAAACATCGTCCCCAGACTATTTGTTGTTTTACTATTTTCTGATATTCCCCCTGTAGAGGGACAGGCCCGACTTCACTCCAGGGGGTCTGGGGAGCCCCTCTAGAGGAGATACCCCCAGAGAGGGGGCCACATGCGAACCCTACCCCTACCCCCCACGATTTCTGAGGGGGAGGGTGGGGTTCACTCCGCTCGGGACCTCCCGAACGAAGTGAACCCCACCCTCCCCCTCAGAAATCGTGGGGGGTAGGGGTAGGGTTCGCATGTGGCCCCCCACAGAGGGCACCCCCGGCGGCTTCGGCGGGGGGCGCGGGCGTCGCCACGGGCGCGCGCGGCCCTCCTGCGCGGCTGGCCGGTCGCAGCGCTCAGCAGCGCTCCGGCGAGCGCCCAGCGCAGGCCGACCGCCATGCCGGCGCAGATCGGCCATACGTAAGAGTGACCCTGGGTAAGAGTGACCTTTGGTGCGCGGCTTTTGGGGGGCCGCGGGGGGACCAAACCTGGGCGCGCAAGCAGCTGCCGCTGCTTCGTTCTCAGCCATCTGGGGACCCACCTGTGCCCGCACCAAAGGTCACTCCGGCGAAGGGTCACTCTTACGTCTAGTCGAGCAGAGCGCCCCCCCGTCTTCGGGCGCGGGCGGGCGTCGGCTTGCCGGTCCCGGAGGCTGGCGTCTCAATTTCTTCGAGCCGGGCGCTTTCGCCTTCTTGGGGCCTCATGGGGCCATCACGGGCGGTCGACCCGGCTCGAACAACGACGCAGAAAGACGGTGTCTGGGGCTTTTGGCGTGACTTTTTACGATGTTGCATTTTTGGGACCACGTCGGTTTTCAGGGGAAGCATCCTACGGTCAGGAACTTTCGCTCAGTGTGTCGCCAGGCGGCCGCCGGGCGGGAGGCTCGGAGAAGCTCAGGACGCGGATACGTGGGGAACAGGACATGGGTATCGCCTCGCGCCGCAGCTTGGTGAGCCAGGCGGCGCGACACGCTGTCCCAAGTTCCCGACCGCAGATGGCGTCGGAGCAGACGGGGTCGGAGGATCGAGCCGCATCGCCGATGCATCGGCGATGCCCTGGCGATGTTTTGGCGATGCACTGGCAGCTGCCGGCGACGTCGGCGACGTCGTCGTCGGGTGTCGGGCTGCCAGGTCCGGAGGATGTGGGGAAGATCAGATGAGACGACTGTCACGGTAAGATTGGCTCAGGATGCGTCCCAGGAAATCCAGAGCATCTGACGGCGCTCCTCTCTGCAACCCGTGTGGCACATGGGGAAGTCTGGCAAAGTCCGGGAGATCGGGAAGCTCCTGAAGTCCCGCAATCTCATGACCCCTGGCTCCTCCGAGAAGAGGAGGAGGGACCTCAGATCTGGGGGTTGCAGCCGTTTTTGTGCTGGCTTCTCTGGGCGCCACGCAGAGATTGCGGCGCCGGATGAGGAGGTTCACTGGCAGACTCACCGATCCTGGCTGGGTCCCTTACCGGGTCCAGGATCGGCGTACTTATACGCTCCCCTGGCTTGGCCAGGGAGGCTCAGGCACTCTTAGACACTCTTGCTTGCAGAGCACCTTGCCCTCCGCATGGCGAACTTCGGGAGCGGCCAAGAGGGGGGTGTCCAAGAGAGGGGGGTGCAAATCATGACCGGCGGCATGTGCGCGGCCCAGCGGGGGGGCCAGGGACGTAATGAAATGAGAAGAGGCGTCATGAACTCTGGGGAAATATCATGGCCCACGCCATGATATCCACCCCCCCTAGTCATCACCCCCCTCTTTTCCGCCCCCGAGAACTGGCGAGGGAGGCCTGGGCACCTATCCGGGGCCCGACCGGGATCGGTGAGGGGGTCGGCGGACGTTCCCCGCGGAGGAGCGGGGAGGAGACGGACAGAGGCGCCGGCGCCAGCGCTGTACGCCCCCCCCCCCCCCCCCCCCCCCTCCCCCAGGGCCCGGGGAGCGACCGCTGGCGCCGTGGGGCTCTGGATCGCAAGGGCCAGCGGCGCGCGGTGCCAGCATCGCCCTCTTCTCCTGGTCGTCCTGGTCATCCTGCTTCACGCTGCCCCCTCCATCTTTTGCCTCTTATTTCCTCATCCTCCTCGTTCCTCCTCCTCCTCCTCCTCCTCCTCCTCCTCCTCATTCTCCTCCTCCTCATCATTCTCCTCGCTCCCTCTGAAGCGGTCTGGGTGCGAACCCGCTGCACGCAGGAGACGAGTTGGAGCCAAGGCGCGGGTGGGGCGTCGGCCGACGAATCGGGGGAACCAAAGCAGGAAGACACTGAACCCTCATGATCAGGGAACGGCAGGAACAGGAAGAAGCTTTCCGGGAGAAATTCTCCTCGTCCTGTTTACCTCACGGTCCGACCCACCGAGGTCCCGAGCCTCCCGGAAACGAAGCCCTCCTCCTCCTCCTCCTCCTCCTCCTCCTCCTCCGCCTTCTCCTCATCGTCCTCCTAGTTTTGTTTGTCGTTTTCCCTCTTCTCCTCCTCCTTCTCCTTCTCCCCCTCACCTCCTTCCTCCCCCTCCTTCTCCCCCTCCTTCTCTCCCTCCTCTTCCTCCTCCTCCTCCTCCTCCTCCTCCTCCTCCTCGCCCTTCCTCCCCGTCCTTCCTCCTCCCCCCCCCCCGCCCTACGACCGCACCGACTCGCTGCTGCCTCGTCGACCGCACTAGTGCCGGAGAGTCGGGAGGGCGGGCGGGGCGCTGCGGAGGCTGCGGCGCAGGCCAGGAAGGGGGCGGGCAGAGAGCGAGAGGGGGGGCGCTTCCAGCGGCAGGCGGCAGGCACATCCGAGTGCAATCGAACCTGGGGCAGAAGACAGCCCTCAAGAGCACGACCCCAGGAGAGCCAAGAATCGAATCGACAAGTCGGATCGGTGATCGAAATGCATCGGATCGGCAGAAATCGGCGGCCGAGTCCAGAAAATTCGAATCGGCGGAAATCGGCAGGCTAGTTAGCCTCCAATAAAGAATCGGAGCCCAAATCGAAATCCCAAATCGAATCGAATCGAAATCGGAAGCCATCGAAATCGAATCGACTCGAATCGGAGGAATCGAAGCGAGCCCTGCGAACCCCCCTGTCGGCCAAAACACACAGAACATCCTAGGGTACCCTCCCCAGGGTGCATCAGAACATCCACTGAGCACGAAGAACATTCGGGTCACCTTCCCGAACCGACCTCGATCTTGTACCTCGGTCCGGCTGTAGGGACTGGCCTGATGATGGGGATGAGAGCATGTGCTTCGTGCGGGGGTCGCCTGGACAACAGAACTTCCTACCGCAACCAAGCCTTGTCGGCGTGTGCAGGTGTACGATTGTGCAGTGGCCGCTCTTTGTAGAACACACACACACACACTACATATCTATAAATCTTCCACGTTCCTGCGGGCAGAAAGCCCCGAACTTCCGACAATCTGTTTTTCCAAACGGCGTCTTTTCTTAACTTTCGGCCCTGGGGGGCAACTTTCGGGCCCCAGGGCCGTCAGGAACAGATCCGGGGCGAATAGCCAAACACGGGGAAGCGTTCGGGGCTTCTGGGCAGCGGATTGCACAAATCAGGTCGGCGGATGTCAGGGGATGGGGAGAGGATCAGGAGGAGGGGGCGGGGGCTGATGAGAAGAGTGAAGAAGAGGATGAAGATGGGGGCGGGGGAGGAGGGAACTTGGGAGGGATGATGCTGCTGCTGCTGCTGCTGCTGATGATGGCGGGGATGATGGCGATGGTTAGGGCGTTGGTGATGGTGGTGGTGCTGCTGATGACGACGACGATGATGAGGGTGATGTATTTTAGCCTTCTGACACCAGGGTCAACGCGCTCACATGGACGTTCGGTGATTGCTTCCATGGCCTACTTACCTCACTCGGCTCTGGGCATGCTGGGCGTCAGTAAATGGCTCAGCCTCATTGCTGGGAACTTGCGCTGGCGTCTCACGGAACGCCCCGGCCCAAAAGGCGGAGGAGGAAGATGAAGAGGGGGCGGAGTGGGCCACCTCACAAAAGATCCACACTTCGGCCTCATGCGTCTCCAGTCCGTTCACCGTCTTCACGAGGCCTCGCGCAGCCATGGCATTTCCCCCAGGTTGTGCGCGGGTGGTCTCCCGCTCCCCGGCGCTGGTGTGTTGCTCGCGTCAGAACGTTATCGTGGCCATCGTCGCGATCAGGGCCTCGATGCGTTGTTGCATGCTGTGCCTGTGCACGCCGCAGCAAGCGCGTTTGCTGTGAGGGAGAGCACCAGTCGACGCCTGTTCGTCCAGTCGGTCGCTGTGCCCACGACAGTTCGGGGCCACCCCCCCCTGCGGGACCACTTTGAATCTCATCTCTCGCGTCCTCGATAAGCGATGCTCGGCAGCTGCGGTGAAAACGATGAACGGCCTTGGCTCGGTCAGGACAACTGTCGGTGCCAGCGCGGTGGGGAGCCAACCGAGCCAGCCGCGTCGTGGATGGACACTCAAGGAACGACGAACGTGACGATGGTTGGTCAGTCGCGCAATGGAGCTGGCAATGCGCAGCCTCTTTCTAGCCTGAGAGCTTGAACCGAACGCATGCTCTCGAGAGCGAGAGGCGAAGAGCCGCAGATGCACCAGGGTACTGCACGCCAGGAGGCGACACCAGGGGCGACCGCTGCCACGAGGGAGCAGCCTCGACGCACGGGAAGCACCGCGTGGAGCAGGTGGTTCGCTTCCGCTCCGCAGCACGCTTGGGGGAACAAAAAGTGACATAAACATAAAAAACTCGTCCGCGCGGATTTCTCGGATCGGCGCTGGACCCCCCTCCCTGGCGCGCGGAGCGCGCCAGGGGCGGCGCCAGAGGCGCCGCTGGGGGGCCCCAGCGCCGATCCGAGAAATCCGCGCGGACGAGTTTTTATGTTTCTGCCACTTATTGCTCCCCGAACGCTGGACTTCGCAGGCGCAGGCTGCGGCCGGAATGGCAACGGAGGACGAGGTACCGGGCGCAGAGACGGAGCTCGCCCCGCCCGCTGGCGTGCGGGACGGCGGCGGGCGCTCCTGGCCTCGCCCAGGGCCTCCGAGCTCCGAGGGAGCGTCGCGGGCGCCGACGCCGCGCCGGGCGGCAGCAGAAGCCGCTTTTTGTCAATGCAGGCGCCAGGCGGGAGAGGAGGATGCAAGCTGTGGGAGGACTGGCAACGGAGGACGGAGGAGGGAGGAGGGAGGAGGAGGAGGAGGAGGACCAGTGTAAACCCGAGAGTCATCAACGATGTTGGAATGAACCCTCCCTCCAAGCTCCCTCTTCATAGGCCCTTACAACGGTTCATTTCCACTGAAGGAAATGCCGGGTTGGAAGACCACGTGCTGAAGACCCTGAAACATGCCAAAACATTGTTCTCGGGAGCCCAACACCACGGATCAACCTGACTGTTGCGTCTTGATGATCTTGAACCGTCCCAGAACGCCATTCCCGGGACTTCAACACCGCGAATCAACGTAACTGTTGCGCCCTAATAATGCTGAATCCTTTCAACATACCATTCCTGGTACGTTGATCATGGGAATCCGTGAAACTCTTGCAAAACTAATAGAACGAATGTGCGCGGCGCTCAGGCGAGAACCACATTTTGAAAACACCATCCGCCGTCAATCCAAGAAACCCTTGCACATTTTAAACCGAATGTGCGCGGCGCTGAGGCGAGAACCACATTTTGAAGACCATCCGCCCTGAATCAATGAAACCCTTGCATTTTTAAAGAACGAATGTGCGCGGCGATAAAGCGAGGACCATATTTTGAAAACC